TTACCATATTAGCTTGGAGGAGCCTCCTTGTTTCTGTTTTTGTGACTCACATGTGTCAAACCCAGGGTTTCTTAGGATACTGCTAATGCTACTAGATTTGTTTTACTACTTCTTATTTGAACAGGAAATTACTTGAGTCAGGACCTTTCCTCTTCCCACAGAGCGCCATCCTGGATATTGGGCCATAAAAAGCCCTTCATGCACCATGGGCAGAAGGAACAGCCATTTTCTCATAGTGCTTGCCAAGGTTATGAAGTTGTCAGCTTTCATTGTTGCTCACAGTTGTCGGTTTGCCCAAGCAGATCACTGGTACCAGAAGGTGACATGGAGTTTTTCACTGAGACTTTAACAAATAAATACATCTACACAAGAATTTTTCTTCTTTAGAAGAATGATCAGTGGTTAAAATTCCTCATCTGTGATTTTTTAGAAGGAGCTATCAGAATGAAATGCTCAAATTCCACTGAAAGTCAAATATATAAAACTCTCAGGTACTTGAATGTTAGGACTAACTGTTCTTAGGACTTGACAACACAACTGTTGTCCAAATTACAAACTGTGTAAAAGTGAAACATTGCTGAAAATTAGTCCACTTATTTAGGAATTCAGAGAAGGACTATACTAAAGTGTTAAATTTGACTCTAAAATACTTAGATATTTTGATCATACTAACAGAAAGGCTTAACTTAAATTGACATTTCTGGTAATCTTGGCAATGCAGTTAAGTCATCTTTGCCACTCTTCCTGAAAAAAGAACTATTTCAATCCTTGTGGGTATTGTGGTAAACATCACATATGTGATGAAAAGAAAACGAAAAGATCCACTTGTGCTCCTCACAACACCAGCTTCAGCAAATGCAGAAGCACAATCATCTGAAGCTTGTGTTTCAAGGAAAGGTAAACAAAGAAGTTCCAAAACTTTGTGCTCTAGGGAGGCCTTTCTGGAGTACCTATGCAAACCTATCTGTTTTCTCTCTGTCTGTCCATTTTAGATTTATCAGAGGCACTGAGGAAGCTGTATTTCTTTTGGGGAGCACTCTCTGTTGAAGTTACAACTCCTGGGTTATTCAGGTCCCACATCTATTCTAACCCACCCCATATTCATGTTATGTATACATTCACCCTTCCTCTAAACAGATGGATTCCCCAGGTTGTGGCAAAGCACAGCTGCTGTGCAAACACAGATATTAACATTCCCATAGCTTTAGAAATATGGTATTACAGCTCATGGAATTTAATAGAGTGCCATGCATTCAATTCCTGTGTCACTGATGTTATTATACGGATGTTAGAAATCCCATCTGAAAAGTACAGATTACTTCAGTGCCTTTTGTTCATCACTAACTCTTTAGGAATCATATAGAGTGGGAATATTCAAAAGACTGTACCATGGACCTAACTCTGCTCAATATCAAAGTTTTATCATTAACTTCAGTGGAACCTGAAGTAGGTCATCACCAGTTGCTGTAGAAGATCCAATCCTTTAAGGTTACTGAAAGATGACAGAGAAATTCATCCTAGATTCAAGTCAATGGGCTCCTTGGGTATAAAAGAAACTCATGGCTGGCTCTTGTGTAAAGAACATGACCTCATCATCTGGACTTCAGAGAAGTACTTTGGCTTCAGCCATGCTTCCATACTTGTTGACGTAGGCTTCTCAATTCAGCTTCCAGAAGCGTATGCATTGTTACATTAACAATCCTGCTGCAGGATTCAGTTCTGGAGGATGGGATGGGCTCTGAGCAACCTGGTCAAAGTAAAAGTTGCCCCTGACCATAGCAGATGTTCTTTAAGGTCCCTTCCAACCAAAACCATTCTATGATTCTATGTTATAATAATGACCTCAGCGCCACTAATTTTAAATTTGATGCCCACATTTCAAGATGATATCTCACACTGTGCTTGTAAATAATATTTAAAATGGTAAAAACAATTAGAAGTGCTTAATGGATACTTTTATGCTAGGATTCTGCTCAAGACTAACACAAGCTAGGGTAGGCAAGTGAACTCTTTCAAACCTCCATGTACTATACAGCATTTATAATACCAAATATTTAAATAGAAATCTTCAGGACATCAACCACTTTTGTATCTCAGAAAAACCTTGGGTCATAGTAGGCTTTTTGGAGGTGATTCAAATTCACATATAACTCTGATGTCAGAGTGCATTTTGAGTGCAAAGTAGGTCTACACAATAACTGGCCTCTCATCTATTCTAAAGTGTCTTTCCAAAGTTGGGTGATAACAAATTACTTAAAACTGATTAAAGAGTTACATCCTATTTCTAAATGTGCTGGAGAAATATAAAAAAATTTCAATTTAGATAAGAATCAGGAACTATCATTTTAGTCTGATAGCATTTCACATCACTTGTAAAGCTGAATGACTACAGAAGTGAAAGGCAATAATGAACTGATACTCTGCTTCAAGTGAGATTAAATTTTAAACAAATATCTGTATATAGATGGAGATTTATGGAGGACTCTAAGGAGAAAAAGCTTGCTATGCATTTATACAAATATACTTTAACTTAACCCCAGGGAATGCACCTCATGTACAGGGTATAGGTATTTAATTTTACCTAAGTATTTCTTTCTTTGTTATTTAAGTCCTCTTCCAACCCCTTGGAATATATTTTTCATGGTATTTTATTTTTATCCTAATATGTCAGTGATGTGTTTTATTTATTTCCTGTATTCTATTACTCTTCTGTGGTTAGATTTTGTAGTATTTATTTAGACTTCTTTGTGATAGTGATCCAAGAAACCCTGAAGATGTGGTGATATCATCTCTGTATGATACCTTCAAGAGTTGAAATGCAAAGCAACCATCTAATATTAAATAGTATACTGTCTTCTTTTCCCTTCAATAACCATATTTAACTTCAGTCGTCAGGTTCTGTAGGGCTCCACTAAACACTTTCTGCATAACAGAATATTTTGGGACAAATCTGGTGTTTGGTCTGGCATCCTGCCCAGCTCACAGCAACAAATGGCAGGGTCAGTTTCTTTCAGTTTTCTAAGTCCGCGGTATTTCTTCTGAATAGAGATGGCATTTATTTTGTAGGGCAAAATGCTAGACAAAATCTTATATGCTGAGCTGGGTCTGGGGGGAGGGGGTGTGACCTGCCAACCATGCATTTAGCCCTTAACTCTGTCTTGGGCCTTACCTAGCCAGATGGACTACCACAGGGAAACCTGAAAGTTATTACAGTTCCATGCAGCCTTTCTGTGAAACCAATGGCAGTGAAGGTTTGTGTCTGACCCTAAAATATAAATCAGTGTTATGCTACTAGATTTACCTTGACAACAGAAAGCAAGTAGGCTATCATTATTCCAGCACTGAATATTTTTATTTTCATAAATTATAAATATTACTTTTTTCTCTCCACCTTCAGTCTTAAGAATGTGGTTTCACATTTCATTTAATGCTAAATGGTTCATTACATAGAGTAGCAACTTAGTTCTCTTATTATGGTGTTATCTTTCACTTTGTCAAAATATGTCTACTTGATAAGAAATCTGACAGAAGTTGCTTATGATGGGATCACTAACAGCCATCAGTTTCTCTCTAGCAAATGAAACTGTAACCATGGAAACGGCCTTTTTTTGCCAGAATGAAAATGAGACAGCACTCTGCTGCAGCCATTAGTAGAATACACAAATGTCCCTCAAGGCAAACATCTAAAGCAAATGGACTGCAAAGTAAGGAGCACTAATTTCTATTTATTTAGGATTTGTAAACCTAGCAGAGCAAGATATTAACAAAGGAACAAACAAAAGGAGGTTAAAAAAAGATGTTTGTATTTTTCTTTCCATCTACAAAACTCCTCATTTTAAATAAAAATGCTTCATTCTGGTCTTATAAGTATAAGCTTAAATATTACTATAACAATGCACTTAAATGAGCCTGTGGTTTGATTGTGCCTGTTCTATGTATAAAATAATAAAATAAATTATACTAGAAGAATGGTTGAGGTTTTTTAAATTTTTGAAAATCCATATTTAAATGCAAAGGTATTAAAAATACTGTGTGAGACCATTTTTTTCATGCTGTTTAATTTTCAAACAACCATGTTCATACTGATAAGATACATCAGGGCTGATAATAAGTGTATTCTAAACACTATCAGCAGTCGGCCACGGGCTGTCAAAGACCTTTCAAGTGTCAGACTCCTCTTACTATCCTCTTTATTCAGTAATACGCCCCTCTTGCTACAAACTGCTTATTGAATGCAGGGATTCTTTTGACAGACTCAGATTAGGTGAGGGGTCTTAAACCATCTGTGATGTACATCAGTAAGATATATCTTAACTTGTTTGCCTTCTCCTTTTACATCAGAAATCACGGTTACACTGGGAACATCAATGTCTAGCTTCTCTTCTATTTCCAACTCACTGAATAAACTAAAGATATAATTTTCCACTAGGATAAATAGTTTGCAAACCGAAACTGTTTAGATATTTAGTTCATAGCTGGCAGTGGATTGGAATCATCATGCCAATTACTTACAGATACCTTGGGGTGCTTTAAATACCTGTGTGCCTATAAATATGACAAAGTGACATGCTGTGACAGACACTTTCAGGGTGGGCTTTCCTATAGTGTGATTAGAAATACCCGCCGTTGTTCTGATATGTTTCGTGGAGGTCAGGGTCAAGCCATACTTATAGAAGTTGCCTACTTACAGCTTACTGGTTGTAGCTGTGAAAAACTGAAGAACAGGCAAGGACAGAGTAGAAAAACTAACCTGAGTTATTTTTTTCTCTAAAACCAAAGTGTTCAAGCTTTTTTAAACTTACAGTCCATGACCTTTATGGCTTTGCAAGAGTTAATCGTGTCAGAAATGAACTGACTTGGGTAATTAAAATGCTGTGACAATGACAACCGCGTCACTGGAATGTTACTTGTCTATCTTATCTGTAAAATGCCACTAAAATATTCCCTCTCAAATCAAAGGTACATGTTAAAATAAACACAGAAACAGAGAGGTGTCTTGGTTTTTGGTTTTGCTTGGTATTGTCTTTTAATTGTCCTAAGCATATGTTCAGCCATATGTGTGAGTACATATGTATATTCATATAGATGCACACATAAAGTAAAAATAGTTTATTAACATTGCAGGTAAATTTGCCAAAAGCTTTTCCGGACTTAATTAGCTACCTTCCTGAGTGGATGTATGTCTGGTAAAAAACAACCAAACAAACAAGTTTTGATATATTAGAAAAGTGGACGGGGGAATACACAAATAACTTTCTTTTCTATCTTCTACTGTGAAAACATACGACTGCACCAGTCTTTAAGGTAAAGAACACATATACAGACATGGCACTAGTTAAGTGTAGTGCTTGCACATACTAGTATATAAAATAGCTAATTAAAATTGGTAAAAATTCCAAGTAAATAGGGTTGTTATTGGCTGCTAGAAGTTGACAGCTGGAGTTGCAATTCTATTTAGTCCTGACATCAGAAAAAGCTTTAGCTGAATAATACTAACTTAGTCTGAAACTCCATCTTTAGAAGAACAAAAAAGATCAATTAGTAGCTGACATGTCTAACACCAAGAAACACTTGATGTGAGAGGACATAAAACAGATGATGTATACAGCCACATTCTCACTATTTGCTTTACATTTCAAATTCAATCACCTTTACCATCATCTAATACAGTATCTTTGTAGTTTAGGGCACAGACCTTTACTGGTTACCCGTGACTTGTTATTTCTCTACAAGACGGTGATTTATACTTCTAACTGTATAAAAATAAAGAAATATATACAAATATTATGATGCTTAAACTAAATGTGACAACAACATTCTGTTGCTCAAGTACCTTGCTATCCTGTATTATTGCCATGCATTCAGTGGCGCTTATATAGTGGATAATTTGCTTCTTAGCACTCAAATGAGCATTTAAATTTTTCCCATAGTCCTGAATTGATCCAATCTACTCAAGGCAACTAAACTGAGAGAATACTTCTCCCAGGTTTCTTCAGTATTCAATGAAATGAGAGAAGCTCATGTAGAGAATGATTTGCCCACCTAAAATCTAAATCATATCTTGGGCATGTTATTTTTATCATTGTCCATATAGGGAGCTGACAGCTGAGTTCAGGTAGTGCCTAAAACTGAGTGGAGGAGCTTTCTGCAGAAGCTGAAGTTGCCTTGTATCCAGAAAAGAACAGATCAAATATTTGAAGTCAGTCTGAAAATGCACAGTCTTGCAGCACATTTTGTCACAGCAGCATCACTGGTATTGCTTGTACACCACTCTTTCTGTTGGAATAAAGGCAAGAGAAAGAAGAAAATGAGAAGAAAAAATCAGGTCATCTAGCAGGAAGAAGAGAAAGAGTAGTGTTCCTTTTAGCTGTACTATAGACATTTTTGTCTCCCAGATTGGCTCTGAAATAATGCTGACTGTGCCAGGAGAAACTGGTATGACTGAGGCTGCAGAAGCATCCACAGTCAAGACCCAGATGTGTGATACATAAATTCTAGCAGGCACGTGCCATTCATCTATTCAGTGACAACCAGTCACTACAGGGCAAGTGGGAAAGAGAGCTGCTGGCACAACGAATTCAGTTTTACCTGTCTTTATTAATATTATGGCTCTTGATCAAATAAATAGACAAGTTGAAATGTATCTTAGGAAAGCTTCTAGATTGATTTTTTTTTCTCCAACAGATCATTCCACTCTGAACTGAATCCCAAAATATTATCAAGCACCATGGCTACAGTGCACTACTATATATGATTATACTGCAAAAAGAAACTTTATGTGTAGCTAATGGCCTCTGGCATCTTCAGTTATTTCTCTCCTGAAGAGATGGTTGTGCCTATATGACAAAACAGAAATGCACTTTCACAGTTAAGGAAACAAGTTAATTTAAAATGGGTAATCCTGCCTCACACAGAAGAGATAAGAAAAGTTCCAGATACTGCGTGCTCTTCACATTCAGAAATTCCTAGTTTGCATTTTACTATTTTCCTTGGTTCCGATGCTGACCTCAGTGATGTTTGTTCTTGTTTACTATTTGATTCTTATAATTTATTCTACTTTATAAAGTAAGAAAACTCTTAAAAAGAAAAGATATGAATATGTGTACATGTTTCGAAGTGCAGATGAGTACAGGATATTTACCACTTTAAGAAAATATTTTTTAAAGATCTAATTACCCCTCTTATCAGTCCAGTTCCTTAGGAGCATATCCACACTGACTAACATCCTGACTCTAGTGTACCAAGATTCTTAGGTGAATTACTCCTCACAGAAAACCATCTCTTCCAGCTGCTCTAGAGAGAGACTGAAAGGTTTAACTTCTTGTTTTAAAGACTTATATTAGTTCAACGCCTAAAGATAGGCAGTCTTAAAACCAAACCTTGACAAAGAAAGGGTCACTGATTGTTGACACTGTTTGTCCCTTTCAAATAACCCATTCCAGGTGAGAAGTAAAGTTTTTTCCTCATGTATGTATGCAAGTTCTTCTTTTTTAAATCTGATTTCAGTTCTTGTATTGGCAGATACTATACAGGCTGAGTGCATAAGGCAAATATCTGCATCTTCTGAACCATTAAGATCAGGAATTGCACCGAAATTACTCATGTTCATTCATTTGTGTAGCATGACTACATCAATGAGTGTAAGAGTATTCTCCTGACTGATTTTGTGTTTTTCAATGTGTTTATGCATCTACTGGTACTTCAGAAACTCTGCTATCTGTTGTAGTTTGGAGTATTCTGTGCATCATGAAAGTGTGTCTTGTATGTTTTCCATAACAACTGAAAGGCCCCCAGTTATCAAATAAAGTATAATTGATAAGCAAGTGGGATCTGCATAGAAAACACAAAAAGGCAGATTGATCACTAAATCTGGTAACTCCTAACTGCTGTAGCATATGTATTACAGAAATGTATTCTCTGACATAAAACAAACCTGGTTTCAAAACAGTAAGATAAATTACAGACAAACACAATGTTTCAATTGCTGTGAGTGTAATTTCATGCGATTTAAAAAACTTTTATATAACCAACTAAAAAAGTAATCATGTGAAGAATCTAATTATAGAAGTCTAATATAGAATTTTGGAGTTCTCCCGACCTAAAATATCTCAGGTCAGTACAGTTTGATGTCTAATATATTGTTTGGTTCACAGTCAGCATGTCTGTAGGGATCTGATCATGATAATCCTTGGTTTGTTTCAAATAAACCTCTCTTCTCCTGTACTGAGTTTCCTGTAGCTGTGCAATAGCTTTTTCCTAGAAACACTGCCAAGAAGGAGCACAGTAACAGGGGTCAACTCCAACCATGAACTTTATGAATTGTTTAGTTGCACATTAAAGAACAGCATCAAGTTCACTTATAAGCTTTGAAATGATCTTATTTCTAGCCTGTGCAGGTGGATGATTCCCTGTACATTTGATTCACTTGGTCAAGATTTAACCCATTGTCTCTTGCAGCCCTCCCCTCTGCAAAAGTGTCTGCCTTCTGCTTTTTATATTTTATAGCTATTCTACCAAAAAAAAAAGTGGGTGAGAATCTGGAGAGTGTTTAGGAACTGGGATATTGCTAATTCACAGAGCTGCCTCTTAGCTTTTGATGCTTTTGACCCCAGGTGCAAGCCCAGGAAGAATGCTCTTCTCCACAGGACTCTCAGAGTAGAGAATCATCTAATTCATACACACAGGGTGCTTCAGGCTCAGCTGTAACAAAACCAAGGCTCTTGGTTTCTTTGGTGCTGACTCTTTAAATGTCTTGGGGAATGACAACAGATTTACCCAAATCAGTGACCTGCAATTACAGGTAGGTGAAATTTGTGGGATTTGCTTTGCCAATTTCTTTAAGCATGTGAAAATAATACCAAATAATTCAATTTTTCAGTGCCAACTTCCACACTTTCAGTGCCACTACCTATCCACCCATGAGATACTAAATTCGTCATTAAATCCAAAGTCCATCTGAATCCTCCTGAAAGTGTCAGCATACTTGCTCCTGAGCAAATTCAGCTTCACTTCCATATGATTCTTAGAATACAAAACTGACCTCTTTTAGGGGTTGTGGAACCAAATAAACAAGATAAATGTCTAGATATTTGTTATCTAGAAATGAGTGAGACAAAATCCAGCTTCTCTATTTTTAAACTTCATGTTTCAATCGACTCTTTCACTTTATCTGTGAATTTTGTGCCAAGAAATTTGCATGATAGCAGAGAGAGAAGGTGGTGACCTGTTGAATACAAACTAATGGGTACTAGTCATATTATGATAGTAGTGTCATCCCACAGTCCCTTAGTGCCATAATCATACTCAGCATATCCATATAGACCATACCCATGCAAGTGCTTTTTACCTCCTGTTAAACTTGTGGTGAAAGGAGGGAATGTTGGAAGCCTGAGATCTGTAGGGGCTTCCATCCACTGCTATTGCTGATATATCATTCCTCCTCAGACAGGACACATATTCTTGGCCAAAATTCTATTAACATTTACAGAACAGTAACACCAGTGCTGGAAGCTTATGCAAGTCTCTCATGTTTATTTAGTGAAGCTAAAATGGGTATCGAGCCTATCAAAGTGGTCTTACAGGACTGTTAGAGAAGAATTGTGTGACTAACTGAATTTTTTGATCAAGCAGATAAAGAATAACCAATTGAAAAAATAATTTGAACATTTTTAATATTGTAAAAAAAAAGAGATCTGAGACTTTATTTTCAGATTGACCAAAATATTAAATATTCAGGGGAACATTGAAAATGATAGTAAATTTTTCTAAATGAAAAGTTGTTTTGAAATGAAAAAAATCAAAACATTTCACTTGAAAATGTCAGAGTGAAGTGTTTTGACTTTTTAAAATGTTTTTGCTGAAAAATTATAAATTATACATGAATTTGTGAATTGTTTCATCATCTCAAATATGCATTTTAGTTAAAAGAAAGTTACAGCTCCCTTCATAGAGTTTTTTTTACCTCATGTCTCTGGTCTAAATAAGCAAGTGTTTCTTCCCCAGTTTTTGTCTTTAAATTTGCTTGACATTTAACATATATAGTGATTATAAGTCTCAAAGACTTGAACCATACGGTTGTGCTTAGAGTAGATATAACTTCACTGAAAAGTAGTAGTTGTATTGATAGACACTTTCACACACACAAACACACCCAAAAAGAGGGGTAATTTCTGCTCTGAGTTACAACAATTTAGAACTGAATAATTATTTGAAGTTCAATTGAGTTATTTCATAATCAAAATGATAAAAGGTTTAGATCATTGTCCTGATATTTATTAAGAAAGCTGTGATAAATCATAGCATGACCTATTGGATGCTCAAGAACATCTGAATAATTACTGCAATGATTGTTGCAGTGCTCTCTGTACTGTATTGCAAGATATAGCTTCCATAATAGAAATTAAATACTGTCATAATGTTATTTCTGTTTTCAAAGAGCTGTTTGGACTGCTACGGAGATGAGGCAGCATTCAATTTTAGGTTTTGAGTTAAAATACAATTGAGATCAGTGATTATTAAAAATCATTAATCAGATTAAACCTGTTATTTCCTCCTATATTTCTTAATTTATCTGATTTATATTTGGGTAAAATCAAATCCTAAGAGGAATAATTTATGATTATATCATAGCTGTTATTTAGTATCTGTGGGGGGATTTAATGCAATTGCTGCTAATTCATGAATTTTGGTCAAGTGGTAGTTAAGTGGTAGTTTAATATCCTACGACTGAGTCGTAACAAAATACCTTTTTTGTCTCTGTACAAAACATAAATACAGAGATTATAAAATGTTATATTGTCTTCGTTACAAAAAGGATTTACTTTTTTGATCCACTTCATTCCTTTTTTTCCATTCTTTCTGATCAATGATATTTATTTTAAATATTTCCAAAATTGCTTTAGGTCAAATATTGTGTAGAGTTACTGATTAATATAGTTTTAAATTATAAGAAAAACTTTTCAGTCTTTAAAACAATTAGGAAGAGAAAATAGAGGTGATATGACATTATTTATTTAGATTTAAAGCGAATTATACCTCTGCAGTGAATGTTATGCCTCTTTGGGTCTGATATAAAGCTATTTTTTATTTCAAGTATAATTGTTTTCAAAAAAAAACTTACTACTTTATAAAGGCTTTGGGACATGGTCTCTGCTCTGGTAGGTACCTACAGCTCAGTGAAGCTCCTCAATGCTCTTTAACTTGTTTACATTGGCAGAAAATTTTTGGCTCACAAATAAATGCACCCATAGGACCCAGGTGAAATGAATGATCAAAAGACATATCAAGCTGAAATGAAACTTCAACATGTTGTTTTGTTTTTCTGTTCTGAAATGGAAGAATGATTCAAAAGAAGAGAAGTATCACATCAGGCATCACGATGTGTTTGTGTTAGCTGACATTTTCTTGGCTATTTCAAATGATCTTAAACAACTGAAAAGAGCCTTCCAGTAACTTGCTTGCATCAGCTGTGCTGGGGAGACAATAGCTTCCCAGGCTGTAGTCTGGATAGTACTGAAATTTCTACACTTTCCCTTGAGTGTCAATGTTATAAATAGTGACTAACTGGAACTTCCAGACTTCAGAGCAAGATTTCATTTGTTAGGGAATGGTGTGAGAGGTGCAAAAAAAACCCAGGATAATTTAACAATAGCCTAACTGGTACTCTTTGTTTAAAATATTCCTAGGAGGTACATACAGTCTGGATCTGTAGCCACAGCCTCAGAAGGACTGTAAGACCTTTCTGCAAAAAGATCTATGCCAACATACTTTACAACAAAGAGGATATGAGTTGAGGTTTAATTTGGCATCCTTTTAGCCTTCATCAGTATTCATGCCTGCTTCAGATCTCAGCATTACTTTCAGATTAGTTGAACTTCATAGTACAGCTGTTAGATAAAACATAAAAAAATAAGTTAAAGGTTTGTATTAGATGATGACAACATTGAGGTTTTCAAAAACATTACAGTTTGCTTCTCTTCAAGATGTATCAATTTTCTTATGTACTGTATTGAAAATATTTCTGTTTAACTTGATTACATTTCCATTTATCTTTCTCTCAATGTTTGGTTTTATTTTCCAGTAAATATCTCACCAACATGAAGATATTTCTGAATTATTCTCTCTTTCTCTCAACAGAAATGCTAAATATAGTCTGCAGCAGTGGTTGCCTTCATTAATATGATTTCAAAACAACAAACATGATGCTCAGTGCATACTTTATTTCTGCTAGGAGACATCACATTTCTAACTAGACTGAAATCATAGCTGAATGAAAATACACAGAATTCAACATGATTATTTATGTTGTACTTTTAATTGTTATTACTTTTTTATTTTTAACCAGGCAGAAGAAAAAAAATCATAGGACAGAGGATGACATTTGAAATAAATGTATGCCTTCTACGAGCAGGCTTTGTTGTCACGGGCACCATACTGCCAATAAGATCTTTAGGGGAAGTCTGTTTGTATCACAACATGTAGCATTCATCAGGAATTAGTAAATTCATCCAGGAAAGAACTCAAAGGAGTCTTTGTTATAGATCTCCATACTGCTTCTCAGGAAAAGTCCTGCTATTTTAGTCCATGGAAAACTTCTGTGTACTTAAAATGAATAAAGAGAAAAAAAGAAAAAAAAAAAATTTTTTTTTTCCTGAAGAGCAGTAAGGAAGATGATGGATTAAAGCAGATATGGACTGTTAGCAGTTATGTAAGACTATTAGGTACCCTGTTTGTTCTGGCTTTTGTAATTTGTCCATGTCCTACTTTATATAACTCAATCCATTGTGAGTAAAAACATGAAATACCAGAAGAGTTCATATTTCATTTTGTCAGCAAATTAGAAAAAAATATAAACCCAAGCACAATAAACATCATATTTGCTGAGTATAGAAGTGACTATTTTTTCATATCAAAGGAGTCTGAAAAGAACAGAAGGTTAAGAAGATTTCTTTTTACAATGAGCAGATGTGCTTGTTACTGTTGATGGACAAGCTTATCCATTTACATCAATTAATATCAACAGCAAGCACATCAATATGGAAGCTTGTCCTGACGCCTTGATTTTTTCCCATCTGACAGGTAATAGTAGGGCTGGGAAAATGTCACAACAATTTAGTCATGCTTCACTGGCTTTAACTAGTTCAGTGACAATGGGAATGCATCATGCTAAGATTCCTTATGATTCATAATGGTACTGCATTAGTCGGCTATTGCAGAGGATTTAAACTAGTCTTTGTCAATTAAGGGTTTAAGGTCAAATCCTCTTTATGGTTTTTTCATTCGTGCATTAAGTAAAAGCAAGTTAAAATATTTATGAATGGCACTGAAATGTGGAAACTTTCTTTAGGAACCTGTCTTTTCATATTGAGTCATAACTGAAACCAACTATATTTGACAAAGAAAGGCTATTTTATCACATGGCGTAGCTTATCCCTCCCCTTCTCTAAAGGCCTGAGCTACAATCTACTCAGTTTTGGCAGGAAAATTTCTGTGGTTAGAAACATACAGTCATAAACTTTTTAGACATTGAGATGAAATTATGCCTCAGCACACTTGACAATGATCAAGATATGATCATAATATTGCTAAATAGTATTTTTAAATTGTTTGAGTGTTCAGCAACCCAAGAAGTATTCAACAAGCCAGAAGGGAATACTGTATATGGGTCAGTGAAAGGGATGCAGTGTAAGCTCTGTGCTGCCCAGCAGGAAAACCACAACAAGGCCAGACGAGTCTAGATAAGACACGCTGTCCCCATGGCTGCAGTGGCTGTCCAGCCCACCATCTGCAAGGTGTCCATTCTGACTTCCTAGGACCAGCATGTCCTACTTTGAGGATGGTTCAGGGAGCAGAGACAAGGAGGAGCTGCCGGCTTCTCTCCTGGAGCCTCACCTCTGGTCAGCCCATTCAGCTCAGGGGGACCTCTGTGCCTTCCCCTTACTTTACACATTGAAACTGCTGAATATCCATATGTTTTCTTCCTGAGGAGCAAGCAGTAATGGGCCATCTTCTGCTTATTTGTTTAGGTGCTGCCTCAGTGTTTTCCCTGAGTTGTACCAGGGTAGTTGAAAGCACATCGTGTCCAGTATAAGCGTATTTTATTGTTATGCAACGTTTCAGTGCTTTGGGTTAGAAATGGCATGATGAATCCTTGTACTTGAGATACATGCTTGCAGATACTTGGTCACATTCTCCATTCAAATATTTTTAACTGAAATTGCCATGTATTCAGATGGTTTCTGTTCTGCTCAGTCCTTGCAATGGGAACTATACTTGAAGTAAGAGAGGATTCAACAGTCAGCTGTAAGTCATTGATATAACCTTTCTGTCATGAGAAAAGTAAAATCAACTTGTTTCCAATATAGTTAAATGCTTAGTTATATACGAAACTAGATCTTTGGAAAGGATAGGAAATTACATTTTCTATAATCGATCAATCATCTGTGAATAGAATTTTATTTAAAGTGACTCCTTTCTGATTACTTTTAGAAGAGATAAATAGAAAATTATTCATAAAGAACTCAATGTATTGATAATGTGACAGCTGAGAGGTTGTGCTCTTCAATGCAGATCATTTTATGAATCTCCGTGAAACGAAACAATGTTATCTAAATAAAGTTATACTAATGACATATTCATATTGGTTAGAAATTAAATAGCAGTAATTAAAATTTTCTGGTCAGTCTATGACAATATACGTAAAAGTATCAGCATGAAAAATACATAAATACTGAGGTTATTTTTACTAATTCAGACATTGATACAATAGGTTATAAAAACCGATAATAGAGCTATATATCCACTGAGTGTTTTCTATATGCTTACTAGATGCCTTAGTCCCAGACATGGGTTCTGAAGTTGCACAAAGATATGTGGTGTTACCCCCATGACTCTGCCCTGGCCCTGAGAGCTGTATTTTGTAGATACGAATCATATTTTTCATTACAGTACCCTGAAGAACAGTGTTATCTCTGTGCCCACTGCCAATTTGATGGGCATGTAGTAGAATATTTTGTGTGAGGAAACATGGAGAAAGAAGTTCAGTCTGTAGCAAAAGGATTTCCTGGGACAGCATGGTGGTCTTGGAGAAACTAATGAGAAGAAAGTTACAGAAATTATCACCCAAAATCATGATCTCAACAACACCATTGCTAAATTATCAGCACAAGTCCATATGACAAGTGGCTATTGTTAAGCAGCATCAGTGTGTGTGGCCAGTAAGACCTCTGCTTTGGTGGCACAGATCTCCAGGAAGCAACTTTCTTCCATTTCGTTAGAAAGAAAATCAAGGGTTTTGCTGTTCTTGAGGTGCTGCAGAAACATCTTGAAATGATCACGTGATCTGTTCTACAAACCAAAAGAGGTGTTTCTTCAAGGCCTTTTTTAAACTGAGATATGCTGCTGCTTGCTCAAATCCTCCTACATACAGATGAGGACATAATATAGGGCTATGTCTCATTATGCAACCTACCTCCCACATGCATGTTCTAAAAGAAAGTACTGAACAGCTGCATAACTCTCCTTGTGGCATGAATAGAGTCTTTAATACCAACTCTGAAATGAGAGTGATTAGTGCTGGTACTGGCACACGCAGCACCTGAGCATTCATATTTCTGTTCAATGTAGCTGATGGAGCATCTTGATTTTTGAGGGGAAAGAGCTGCTGGATTTGCTCGTGGGATATGACATAATGACTTATGGTCCAGGCGTTACTAAACTTAGCGCATGGCACTCTGATTCATGCTTACTCCGGAATCAATGTCAACCCCTAATTAATTAACAGTTTATTGTGATTGTTTTGCAATATTAAAATAACAGGGGTGATGTTACAAGTTAGAATCACTAGGATGCTACTGGGATACCACTGCCAGCGGTACTAAGGTGGTCAGCGACAGCTTTGCCTGACCTGCTCAACAGGCATAGCCCTGAAAATAACAGTCATAAGAGCTCTACATCACATACCGAAAAGAAACTTGCTGTTGTAGATGGATATGCTCTCTGACAGCTCAGAAAGAAAAAAAGAGAAATAGATTTAGTTGTAAGCAAGGATGGTATGCCATTAAATTAGTACTATTTATATTCCTTGGCAAACTGAGCATTTTACCCACCTTGTCAGGATGACTGCCTGACCCCAGAAATCTCAACTGGAGCAGTTGAGGCTAGTAACAGGCAGTGTGAAAAATTAATGCTCACAGCTCATAGCTCATAGCTCATGCAACAGGATTATTTATTTATTTAGATTCCTGTAAATGTGAAAAAAGAAGTTCTCCATATGGCCTAAAAGCCGTTGATGTAATCTGAAAATACCACCTGATAGAGCAATTTAAGAAACATCTCTTCACATACTGATCCTCCTTCCCTGCTTGATCAATGCTCTGCTTTTACAATAGCTATTGTATACACCGATTTTCAATAGAGTTAAAAAAGATGAGCCTTGCAATATACCCTGCAGGTCAAATTCAGGTTATATTAAGTCAGAGAAGGGGAAGAATCCATTTCGATGTTAGTGAGGAGTGGATCTATTTATAAGGCCTTTTTAAACTCTTGCTTCATTTCACAGCATATATGACAGCTGATTTTCTCCAGCCCAGATGACTATGGCTGCTGGGATATTATCTTGTCAAGGAAACCAGTCTATTGGTTTCTGATTCTTAGAAACAGAATAAATAAAACAAATGAACAAGGAAAAAGCCAAAGAGAACTGAAGAAAACATCAGCAGAAAGATTTTCCTCCAGTCAGCATAAGGTATTATGTTTTTATTTCTGTTGGTATTACAAAAGCTGTGACATTCTTTCATGATGTCTAGTGTGGCATTTAGCATCGGGACTTTGTTCAGTATTCCAGCAAATAAGAACACTTGGAAAAATGTCCTACCTTAGAGCTCTGTTCCAGTAGTTGGAAAAAATATTTGTGGGAATTGGGCTACAGATTTGAAGAAACACAAGTGTGATTTCTCACGTTTGTTAAGTACTTAAAATACAACATTTGCTATCTAAAGATCTAACTTTTGCAAATATTTAAGTACATGACAAACAGTAATTTCATGAGTAAAAACACACCAGTGTTTAAGTGGTTTAGAGGATTAGCCATCTTTGTACATACAGTATTTTCACATATATTTCACCATATATTATTTTCACCATAATGTTTTATACATTCTCTCCCTACCAAATATCTATTTTTTATGGTGAAACAAAATACGATATGCAGATCAATCCCCACTTTTCATAGTGTACTAAAAAAGTGTCCATTTAATAGTGCCTGAATACAAGACTTGTTTCTTAGAAGGCTGTGAAACATTTTCAGTTTGAGTACTAATAGAAGATCAACTCTTTGCCTTATTAAAAAAGAAGCTTTTGGAACCTGCATAAATTGCTTTGTGCTTAAATTCATTCGATAAATTAGCTTCCAGAGAAGCTACTATAATCTGAAGGTTTTAATCATCCTTTCAGATTATATCACAGGAGCTCTGACTACTATCTTGGATCGCCCTTTGTTCAAGAAACACCTGTTTTTTTATTAGAGAAGAACATCAAAATTATGAACATCTGAAAGTAATTTCTAGTCAAGGAGTACCTGGAAGAGAAGGAGAAGTGGTAATTTGTTGTGGTTTGTTTTTCAAATAACAAATATTTACGTATTTATCTAAATTACATAGTCTAGATACCTATCTGTGGAAAAGGTAGAGAGAGTATCTTTGTAAATTAGGATCAAAACCTCATATCAGATGAGGTTTGCTGGTATATTTTGGAATATTCAATGCTCAGAGAATGGCTATCTGCTACAAAGGTCTGATGGTTATGTGCTGGTGTAAGCAGGAGTCAGGGTGACATAGCTTTTCTCAGACAAGCGACAATAAAATCTGTGTCCAATCATGCTACCACAAATATGGCACTTCTCACATATTTCCTAATGAAAAAGTCATGTCAGAACTTCTTCTGGAACTATTGACTTGTAACTAGGAGTTTTAAAATGTGTATCAATGCCTTATTTTCTGACTGTGTGTCAGTTAAACATGTCTTCTCTTTTGCATGACTCACAAAGAAGTCTGAGAGAGGGCAACATGGATCCTAATTGGGAGTTTCTCTTAACTACAGCAGCCTAAAATATAAGCCTCCATTTTAAGACAGTTGTCTAAATTCTTTCTATGGGCAGCAGAGAAAGAACCATATCTCAAAAAGAAGATTTGTCTTAGATACCTGTCTTAAGTTCAGTGAAATAACCCCTGGAAATCCCTATATTGCTCTACCGGTTATACAGGTAGACAAGAATTTTCAATGGCTACAACTAGGAGAGAAACTGATATATTTTAAAAACTTCTAACAAGTACCTAAAAGAATTTCTTAACCCAAATACCTACTCATATGTAGAAATTACAATCTAACGTCTCATAAATTACTGTAAGCAATTACAAGCTGTTAAAAAAGTAGAGGTAGTGACAGGATATAGAATATATACACAGTGTCTCCTCTTGCTTTGTAGTTGCAAAGAAATATAAAAACACATATGAACAAATAAACTTTGCAGGGTTAAAAATGGGCTTTTTTTATATCCGAAAAGTGAGATTTTTCTTATTTAGTTTGGCAAATAGCTGGACAGTGTGTTACAACAACACTGTTTGTTCGCAGTTCTGAAGGGGTATTTTCAAACTGCTCCAACACTTACAAGAAGCCACTTATAACCACACCGGAGACAAACTGGCAGGCTGGTCTGTACTTAGAACTCTTTGTTAAGGATTTTCTAATGCTTAACTTTGAAAATCCTTGAGGCTTCCACTGGAGATGTTTGTTGAATGGCTTGTGCAAGTCCCTTCACATCCTCTTGCCCCATGTCCATACCTTCACCACAACAGCGGTTACTGTTTCTTTTGAGTACTTTGATGTTTATGTGTGAAAGGTAGTAGTACACCATGAATAAACTCCAAAAAGGTTGTTGCAGGAGTATTTTCTTTAGTATCATTATGACTGTTTGTAACAGTGGACTCTAAATCACTGTGCTAACTTTGTGTAAGCAGGATGGGTATAGCGTTTCCATCCTAAAAATCATTCTAAATGGAATAAATATTTCCCTTTGTTGGCTGGAGTCAGAAAATTTTCAAAGCTGGAAGATCTTTGTTTGACTCAGTTGTTGAGTTACATTTACCTCCCATACACAGATCTGTGTATGAATAGGCACAGGTATTACTGAATTACTGGGAGGTGATTTGGTAGATGTTTACAACAGATCAGATTTTTATAGCAATGGTGAGAAGTGAAGGGAACACAGTTGCACTATTTATGCTGATATCGAGTTTCACTGACTGCCCTGTATTGTACTACAGGTACAGTAGTTTTCACTTCCAGAAACTGGGAATAATTCCAGAGGAATGCATCTGGATAACATTTGCCTGTTACCCTCCTCAGAAAAGAATTAGTCACCAAGGGCCCTATTCATAAAAATTAATTCAGGCCCTTTCCATATGAATATCACGTCTTTATGTGGAAAAAGTGTGGTACATGCTTTTTTTCTACATATAGAATCCTTTTCTGTGATTAATGGAGTTATTTCCTGCTGTCTGTAAATGGACATCTCCCTGCTTTATTAAGGAGGAGGTTAAAGTCCAGAGCAGAAGTGGGAGCGGGATGGACAAGAAACTCCTAGCTTTAAAGAGTATACATGAATGGTATTTGAAAATGGTTACAGTATAAATGATTTGGCTACTTGAGCAGATGAATGCTGAAAATGGATCAGTCGTTACATACAGAGATTTTTATGAACTGGCATAATATTTTTCTTAAAATTTACAGTTTTCTATTAACTTTTCAATATTAAGCAAGCCAAAGCTTCCACTTTGTGTTGCATTTTACAAAATCCTACTTCCAGCAGTTAATTCATAATAGTGTGATTGCTTTAATCAGTCCACAAGGTTGATAAGTTGGATTGACTGGAATCACCTCGTTAGCATGTGAATTTTGGTGGAATTTTAATAGCCACCAGGGATTCACAAGATTTATGGCAGAGTCAGCTTATGATTTTCTTTTGGTTGAATGCTCATTTTAATGTCCTGTAACATACACTAGACCTTGCCTACTGTTCAGTTTGTGCTGTGAC